GATATCCGCAACTCCGCTAGAGGCGGGTATGGGAACGGCCCCGCCATCCTCCCTAAAAGGACCTCTTTAGCCAGCTTGTCCCGCACTACCTCCGGGCGTTCCCGCACCGATTTAAGATTGGCACAAACTGCCCCTGGTTCCTTGACCGTGAAGGGGATCACGAAGCCCTCCCTAAAACCCCGCCACAAGAACGCCGCATCCTCCTGGTTAGCGTATTGCCTTAGCCAAGGCAACATCGCGCCTAACCTCACTGGGGACGCCCCCAGTTGCAGCCGAGGTGGCCGCCACCCCTGCGGTTCCCCCCCCCTGCATTAAGCTTACCTTTCTTGAAGCATCTGCTGGCGCCGTGATTCCCTCCGCAGCCCGAACACTCGTGCCTAAATCGGCATGAAGTACCCCACTTGCATTGACCCTCGTTGTATGTCCAGCATAGGCCCTTCTTTTGTCCCGCTGGCACAGCCATGCCTGAGGCTGTCCCAGCTGCCCCGAGAAAGGGCGCAGCCTTCTGCGCCATCATAATCCTCATCCATAGCGGCAGGTCCATTTGGTCCCACCGCATGGTAGGGTTGGCCGCCAAGCGTTGCCGAAACTGCTCATCATATTTCCACCATGCTAGGCCCCCATACGTCCGATACGCATCGCCTATCCCATCCAAGTAGCAGAACAGTTGCGAACAGCTCCCCGGCCTTTTTTCCCCTATTACACTAGCCAGGATGCAGAATGCCCTCAGCCAATTCCCAAAAGTCTTCGGTATCTTACGATACCTCCGCCTTTTTTCCTCTTCCTCCTTCTTGGCGTCCTTCTTATCCTCCTCCTTCAAGTCTAGGAATTCCTCCAAAGGGAGCAAGGAGAAAATTTCCATGAACTCCCCCTCCAAATCTTTTCCTTGACCTCTAATTTCAGGTGACAACCTAGGGGGCCCGCGAAAGATACGTGTACGTTTTGACGTGCCGCGTCCGAAATGTCGCCACAACCGACTGCCGGCTCGGCCCCCCCATCCGCCGCACCGGACGCCACCACCGCTTCGCTTATCTCGCCACCGCTCGCTGGTTGGCCCACCGCCCCCCGTGCCTTAACCGCCATGTCAGGGGACCATACTTTTCCGAACTGCAATGGTGATTCCCCCCTCCCTGACCATGCCTCCAATAGTGTTTTTAAATAGCCCAATAACTGTCCGGAGTGTTGTGCAGATATGGACTCACCGTTGGAGACCCCGGCCGTGCCAGGCCCCGGGGATGCCGACCTTCCGTCCACCCGTTCAGGCTCCGGAGCATCCGGTTGACGCCGACTCCCATCCGCCTGATCCCTCCTCAGGACCGTAGGGGTAGCGCTCCGCGACCTGTAAGGAGAAGACAACCTGGGTAGTCTGTACTGCTGGGACCCTACCTGTGCTTCCTCCCTACGCTCCTTTCCACGGTTCCAAGCTTCGCACTGCCTTGCCGGCCTAACATCCTTGCTCCTGGCGACCCGCTGCTGTCCTAGCGCACTGTCACCCGAGGACCCAGATGCGCTGCGCCACCTCCGCCCCCGACCGTCCTTGGAAGCGGACCTCCTCCTCCCCACCCTGCAGCTGGCCCTGGAACCACTGCGCCTGCCATGTGATGGACTCCTGTCCCTGCTCCACTGCCGATCGGCTGACCTCCTGCTGCTGCTGGGCCTGGCGCTACCGCTGCGCCGCTCCCGTCCGTAATCCCCCCTCTCCATGGTCCCGCTGCGGTGCCCCCCGTGAGAGCAGCCTGAGGGGCCCATCCTTCCACTGCTACTGCTCCTGACCTCCCTATCCCGCGCTGTACCGTGTGGGTCACCCTTCTCCGCTGTACCTGGCCATCCGCTGGCCGCTGCGCCTGGTTCAGAGGCCCCCCGCACCCCCTGGCAGCCCGCTGGAACCTCTGCCGCTCTCTGCCCGATCCTGTCATCCTCCTGCCGCCCCTCACCCCTATGCCTGGCACTATCACCCGTCCTGGCCACATCTAAGGCCGCCCGCGAGCTGATCCCGCTGACCAGGCCACCCCTGGGTAGCTGGGGGGCCGCCTGCGCAGGAGCATCCCGCGTTCCGCCCGCCCCCTGCCCCTCAGTGACCAGAGTGGACTCACCGGGACGCCTCAATGAAGTGCTGCCGACCACGTGCTCCTCCGCTCTCCCGGCCGCCATTCCAGCCATGCTGGAGCCCTCCTCTGGGGTACTTGTGCTGCCTGCCGCCATCTTGAGTGGGGTGCGTTTTCCGGCAGGCCCGCGCTTTGCAGCCGTCCTCGCCTGACTGGCGCCGCGTCGCACAGACGGCGCCGGCCGCTTTCCAGTGCTGTCCGACCCTCCCGCCTCCTGGCTGGGTGCCGACGGGTTCCTCCGCCGCCGTGGAGCGGGCGCCATGACCAGACTCAAACGCTGGGGTGGCCGTGCTCTTCGCGCCGTCCTGCGCTCCGCTGGTGCTGGAGGGGGAACTGCAGCCCCCAGTTGTTCATGCAGCCAGGCCAGCCCTCGGTCCTTCACTGCTGCTCTCACTCCAGCCAGGATCTCATCCAGGGACGCCATGGACCTGCAGAAAGAGAAAAAAGAAAAACCCCACAGACCTGTCACAACTAACAGGTAAGTGAAGTTCTGATTAAAATGGCCACTCTCTAAGATGGCCGTTATTTTAACCCCCTTTAATCCCGCCCCCAAGCTCCATTAGCTTAAACCCACCCTTAACTGACTGCACCTGCCCACTCCTGGCTCTGTCAAGGCCCACTCCCCTTACTTCGTTGCTCCATGGGCTTCAAGTGACTCCTTTATGAACATATGGATTAAGGGCCGCCATCAGAAATTTTGGGGCCCATGACAAAGCACAAGGTCTGCCCCCCCACTCACTCCCTCACTCCCTCCCTCCCTCCCGGGTCCGCCCACGCCCTACCTAGTCCGCTCACAATGATGCAGGACTGAATATGGTGTGTATAATGGAAGTGAATTAGAATGTGTGTAATGGATGTATTGTTTGTGTGTATTAGATACTGTTTGTGCAGTGAATGCAGAGTGTGTATTTGTGTAGCGGATGCAGTGTGTATAGTGAACGCAGAGTGTGTTTGAGTAGTGGATATACTGTGTACAGTGATGTAGTGTGTGTTTGTGTAGTGGATGTAGTGTTTGTATGTACTAGATGAAATGTGTTTAGTGGATGCAGTGTCTGTAGTGGATGTAGTGTGTGTATTAGACGCAGTGTCTGTGTATAGTGAATGCAGAGTGTTTCCATTTGTGTTGGATTTAGTGTGTGTACTGTGAATACAGGATGTTTGTGTAGTGGATGCGGTGTGTACAGTTAATTTTGAGTGTATGTTAGTGTAGTGAATGCAGAGTGTGTGTCAGTATAGTGAATCCAGAGTGTGTGCATAGTTTAGTGAATGCAGAGTGTGTGTTAGTGTGTAATGAATGCAGAGTGTGTTAGTGTGTAGTGAATGCAGAGTGTGTCAATGTAATTAATGTAGTGTGTGTGTTAGAGCAGTGAATGCAGAGTGTGTGTAAATTTGTAGTGAATGCAAAGTGTGTGTTAATGTGTAGTGAATGTAGAGAGTGTGTTAGTGTGCAGCAGATGCAGAGCGTGTGTTAGTGTAGTGAATGCAGTGTTAATGTGTAGTGAATGCAGAGAAAGTGTTAGTGTGTAGCGGATGCAGAGTGTGTGTTAGTGTATCGGATGCAGAGTGTGTGTTGTGTTAGTGTATGCAGTGTGTGTGTGTTGTTTTAGTGTATGCAGTGTGTGTGTGTGTGTTGTGTTAGTGCATGCAGTGTGTGTGTTGTGTTACTGTATGCAGTGTGTGTATGTTGTGTTAGTGTATGCAGTGTGTGTATGTTGTGTTAGTGTATGCAGTGTGTGGTGTGTTAGTGTATGCAGTGTGTGGTGTGTTAGTGTATGCAGTGTGTGTGTTGTGTTAGTGTGTGTGTGTTGTGTTAGTGTATGCAGTGTTTGTGTTTTGTTAGTGTATGCAGTGTGTGTGTGTTTTGTTAGTGTATGCAGTGTGTGTTAGTGTATGGTGTGTGTGTGTTGTGTTAGTGTATGCAGTGTGTGTTAGTGTATGCAGTGTGTGTTGTGTTAGTGTATGCAGTGTGTGTGTGTTGTGTTAGTGTATGCAGTGTGTTAGTGTATGCAGTGTGTGTGTGTTAGTGTATGCAGTGTGTGTGTGTAAATGTGTGATCTGGGGGGGAGGGGGAGAAAGGGGCATTTTCACATACATTTTTTATTAAATTAATGTTTCTCCCCCCTCCCTGCTTACCTGTGTCCGGGGAGGAGGGAGATTCTGTGGTGGTCCGGTGGGGACCCCCCGGCTCCCTGTTACCGCAGAGGGGACCCAGGCAGCACACAGCTTCTCCTCTCTTCTAATAACTCTCGCGAGACCCGGTTACCATGGCAACGCTCCGTGGGTCTCACGAGAGTTATTAGAAGAGAGAAGAGAGGAGGAGAAGCTGTGTGCTGCCTGGGCCCCCTCTGCGGTAACAGGGAGCCAGGTGGCCTGCGGCTGCACGCATAGATACCGATATTCGCTATCTATGTGTGCAGAGAAAGAAAGTGGGGCCCAGGACTGCCAGAGCAGTCTGGGCCCCCCAGGGCTGCCGGGCCCGTGACAACAGTCACAGTTGTCACCCCCTGATGGCGGCCCTGTATGGATCCACTAAAATGGAAAGAATGTAGAATACAGATATAGTGCAGACAGTGGTGTATACTGGTTTTGTGCTGCTATGTGTGTTTGTGAGAGTGCTGTTAGTGTGCTATGTGTGAGGGTGCTGTTTGTGTGCTGTGTGTGAGGGAACTGGTAGTGTGCTGTGTGTGTGAGAGGGTGTTTGTATGTGCGTGTTTGTTCGGGTCCTGTTAGTGTGCTGTGTGTTTGTCAGGGTGCTGTTTGTGTGTGAGTGTGCTGTTTGTGTGTTTGTGAGGATGCTGTTAGTGTGCTGAGTGTGTGCGAGGGTGATGTATGTGTGTGGGTGCTGTTTGTGGGCTGTGTGTGCTGTGTGCTGTGTGTAGGTGCTGTGTGTGTGCTGTATGTTTGGGTGGAGGTGGGGGCAGATTAGTTAATATCCCAGTCCTGCTGCCTTCCCTGGTCGTTCAGTGGAGAGTGAACTCTAGCCCGGGTTCTCTGCTGCCTCCCTCCATGCTGCTGTGGACCGGTGAGGTAGAACTTTGATCTCCCCACCGGCCCATGGAGGCTTAGACCAGAGCCGCCGCTCGGATAGCGTCGGCTCTGCATGAGCCGACCGGGGAGATCCAGAGATCTCCACTGCCGGTGTCAATCCATTGGCATGCCGCGGGGATTAGGGTGTGCCCATGCACACCCGACACACCCCGTGCGCACGCCTATGGAAGTGAGGGATGGGGGAGACAGCCTACATGAAGAGTCAGCAAGGAGCAGGAAGGTAAAGTAAGAAAAGGAGAAGGAACAGAAATGAGCAGGAAGGGACATCAAGGAGCAGAAAGGGGCAGCAAGGAGCTGGAAGGGACAGCAAGGAGCACAAAAGGTAAAGTAGGAGAAGGAGCACAAAGGAACATAAATGAACAGGAAGGGTCAGCAAGGAGCTGGAGGTGGCAGAAGGAGCACAAACAT